TCCATTTCTTCATTCCATCTCCTGTCCTATAATTCCTAATCTCTTTCTGTAGAAAGTTGGACCATATCTCCCAGAGTTCTACTCAGTATCCTTTACACCAGGGGTCCCCAACCGCCGGTTCGCGGACCGATACCAGTCCGCGGAACAACTCTTACCGGGCCGCTGGTTGCTGGGCGCCGCCATCTTTTTTTGGTAAAAAAGTGCTTCCGGTGAGCTTTTCCGGGTAGAAAGCTCACCGGAAGCACTTTTTCATCAAAAAAAGATGGCGGCGCCCAGTTGATGCCGGTACCGGGCCACGGCGCCCAGCTGATGCCGGTACCGGGCCGCGGCGTCAAAAAGGTTGGGGATCCCTGCTTTACACAACATCTCCATCTATGATTTTGCTGTGCAAAAGTGCACTTCAGAAGTCCTAAAGATGCTTTTTCTCAAGAGGCAACTGGACATTCTGGTTATTCTTTGAAGATGTTTTGCTTCTCATCCAAGAAGCTTCTTCAAGATCTGTTTCGATCCAGTGATGTAGAAAATGAAACTTTGAAAATCATAAAATGTTGCACATTTACTGACAAATGATGTGTGAATTAGTTTGCAGAAGAGTTTGTTTTTAATCTAGCTGCTTAAGAGATGGATGAGAGAACAGGATTGAAATGCAAGCATGGGAGGAGAGAGATTTTAAACCTTAACACTGGGAGTTGTTTCAAGCCTTAGGACCAAGGTGTCATTTAGAGCTTTCTTCAAGAGTTTAACTGTAAAAAGGAAGAAGGGAAGATGAAAAAGATTTATGTTAGCACCCTAGCAGAGTGAAAGGGTTAAATTTTTCCCACTGCCTTATGTCCCCTGCCAACTTCATGATATCTGCACATATAAATGACATATTAATTGTGTGTGTGTATATATATATATATATATATATATATATAATTAAGGTACTGTTTACTTGGCTCTCAATATAGCTAGGCAGGATTACAAACGATTTTCTTAAAAAACACCAGTCTAACTTATTAATTGCTAAATAGATAATATTTCAGGGCCATTCCATGGCAATTTTTGAAAAGTCTGAAATGCACATTTTTAAACATGTCTTTTAGTTCATTGCTTTTGTTTTCTGAACATTTAGGATGGCACGATTATAACTTTCTCCAGGGCAGTCTTATCTAACCTGGGCTTCTGATTTTGGGAGGCATTTGAGGAAACAGTTGCAATGAAGGATAACAAGAATGATCAGGGGGATAGAAAACTAGAAAAAGCAGAAGTGATTAAAATAGATTACTTTAGTGTTGAAAAAAAACCTGATGCTAAAATATGCTGACTGAAGGTATATCTTGCAGAAAAACATTTCTTTATTGGAAGAAAGGGTGTGGGATAGTGGTTTTCAGATACCAAATTGTGGCTGAATGTTTGAAAAAAAAAAAGTTCTAATAGCAAGAGAAGATTTATACTTGTACCAATTATTTCTAGCAATGGTGAGCTCCCCATTTAGATGTGCCTGGATAGTCTTTTATTAATGTGAATTCTTGTACCAAGCAGGCTGCATAGCTCAAAATTCTTGGTTTGGATAACTTAGAACTGCATCGCTTGTGGTCAGACCTAGGTATTGCATACAAAATTATACATACTAGTGTTTTACCTGTAAATGACTTTTTTTATTTTAATCGTAATAATATGCATGCGAACATCTGCTTTAAACAGTGTAAATCATTCTAAACTTGACTGTAAAAATATGATTTTTTTAATACAGTTGTCAAAGTCTGGAATGCTCTACCTGATTTGGTTGTCTCAGATACAAATTTTCACAGTTTCAGTCACAAATTTACTTCCATGAACCTTACTTTATACTTAAGTGATCAGTAGAGTGGGCAGGCATAACTGTATCGTCCCTGTCATTGTATTTTTATTCTCTTATTCTTGTTTTTGTTTGACAAATTCCAATAAACAAACAAACAAACAAACAAACAAACAACTTGATGGTCAAACTGGTTTTTGTCCCACTGAACCTCTTTCATTTGAATTTGGTGCCCTCCAAATATATAGGACTGCACTACCTATCCTGAAATCGGTAAAGACAGAGAAAAAAACTATTGTAGCAATATTTGAGAGCAAATGTCCACTCAGAAGAAATAATAAGCAAAGACAGCAGATGAAATTATGCCATTTTTTGCCACCTTCTATCAAACTATTGATTATGATTAGATACAGCCCAGTTGAATGGATTCTGGCTATTTGCCCTCTTGGGAAAGCAAATCTTGTCAAGATGTTTGCCCAGAACAAATTATTTCTTAAGAAATAGTTTATGTTCAATGTAGCCAGAAAATCATATGAAATGCAATCCAGCCAAGCACGTATTTTGAATGCTGTTCATTTTCTCTTTGAATAGCTATCAGATTCATAATCCCGGTTGCTTAAAACAGTTAAAGTAATAGCTGATGAGTGACTGTTGAACTTGTTTTATAGACAGAAAAATATAGACTAAAGATCCGAAATTCTGTTCACTTAACTGGGGAATTAGATTAATTAAAATTAAAGGATCTTATTTCTGGATAATTATGCTGTGGAGCATTTCCTTATTCAAGTCCCTATCTGTAGCATAGAGGAAAATTTTTGGTAATCTACACAGCAGTAAACTCTTGAATTAAATCTGTTGTATAGCTGGACACATATTACAATAATAGTTATGTTCATACTCAGGAATCACTTCCCAGCCTTTGTGCTCTTTCTTTTAGCTTGGTCCTCTTCAAATAAATAAATTCAATAAACCCATTGATCCAGGTGGATAGGAATTCTTGGAGCTGAAAACCACATATCTGAAGAACACCAGATTGTAGAAGGTTGCTCTGGATCTAATGTTGAGATTTGCCTAGATTCAAAATATTACAACTTCCTATTTATTTATTTATTTATTTATTTATTTATTTATTTATTTATTTATTTAGTCAGTCAAGCGATTATAAGATAACAGGTATAAGATAACAGGTATAAGTATAAACATAGTTATGAATACATGAAATGGATACATATCAGAAAAATAAAAAAGAAACAACAGGACAGGGATGGTAGGCACATTGGTGCACTTATGCACGCCCCCTACAGACCTCCTAGGAAAGGGGTGAGGTCAATAGTAGACAGTCTAAGGTTAAAGTTTTTGGGGAAGAAAACACAGAGTCAGGTAGAGTATTCCAGATAGACATTGACCACTCTGTTGCTGAAGTTGTATTTCCTGCAATCAAGTTTGGTGCGATTTACCTTGACTTTGTATCTATTGTGTGCTCTTGTATTGTTATGGTTGAAGCTGAAGTATTCAGTGATAGGTAGGACATTGCAATGTATAATTTTATATACTATACTTAGATTGGACTGAAGGCGGCATAGTTCTAGGTTTTCTAGGTCTAGAATTTCAAGTCTGGTGGCATAAGGTATTCTGCAACAAGTAGAGGAGTGGAGAACTCCTCTACTATATATGTATATATACATACATTTTATATATATATATTAGATCTACTAATATATGTTGACAGTAACCGATTTGAAAATTAAATAAATTCATTTGTAAATCAGGAAAGATATTTGAGTCTAATGTCTTATGTGTTCTGCTTAAATGGGAATTGCAAGATCTTTCTAACTGTTTTGTAGATCTTTTATAGGTATGAATTGTGATCTTTCTTTTCCATGGTTCACAAGTAGCTTACATTCTTCTTCTTTGACTTTTTTACATACCAAAGCATGTCCTTTGTCTCCCTTTTGGATTAGTGGCTTATTATTTAATCACCCCTAATGCTGACAGTTACCTGACTATAGCTAGACTTGTAGTATCCAACCTGTTAAATAATAAGACATAAATTGGTGGGAAAGGACAGTTTCTGCCCTGTAATTGGTCCCTGGAGTTAATCACAATAGAATCTTTACTGTAGGTCATAATATGGAATAAAAGAAGCCTCTTGTATTTCCAGCCTGGAGGACAAAGGCAGGCTGATAGCTTATGCAAATAACAGATAATTCTTGCAAATGAAAAGTTAACTGGCTGACCAGCATTGAAAGTAGAGGAAATACCATATTAGCAAGACTGAAAGGAAGAGCTAAACTTTCATACCCTATTTTTTTCTTTCTGATTGAAGGGGTTAAATGTGAAAAATGCCAAAATGGAGGCCCGGGTGGACATTTCAGTTTTCATAACTTTTTCCTACTTTTAAATTAGATAGTGCTTTGAGAATAATGACATTTTGAATATAAGTATAGTTTTTAATGTAGAGAGTCAGTTTGGTGTTGTAGTTAAGATATCAAGCTAAAAATTGAGAGACCATGAATTCTAGTCCCACTTTATGCACACAGCAAGCTGAGAGACTTTTGGGCCAATCACTTTCTCTCAGCCCTAGAAAGGAGCAATGGTAAACTACTACTGAAGAATTTTTCAGGGAATTTATCAAGCAGTCTCCAAAAATCAGAGGATTTGGTTTCATGATTTTGGTTTGATAGTGTGTCAGCTAAAATGCAGAATAAAATTCAAATTTAATTCTACTATTTGAATATATGAAGTTGCTAGCTGATAGCTAGTAACTTTCCTTCTTTCATCTCTGTGTAGATAGAAATTGCCTTGTAAATCTAATTTTATTGGAGGATAGCCTTAGTTTTCCAACACCTGATTTAATTTTCATTGGTTTATCAGGTCTTGGTCAAATATGTATGAACTACATGGTACAGATATCTCATTAGATTATGGAAGGCTCTTTTGACAAGCTGGTAAATTGACACTAAGAACTGAGAAGTTGGGGTGATTCTTTTTGAAATAGTTTTTCCTTGTGTTCTGTTTCTGGGCCTAATTTAAAAATCAAATTTTGTACCTTTAAAGCTTTACACATTATGGATTTAGGTATCTAAATAGGTTTATATATTTTCCTCTGTGATTAGGAAAAATGTTCTTCATTATATATGATCAAGTTATCTGATGTGCAGAATGGCATCTTCATCAATGGACAAAATTCCTTCGTCCTTTCTGTCTTTTTCCCTTCTAGGGATTACTTTCACATCTTCCTGGTGGACTTCCAGAAAGCATCTGATGGACCCACAGAGCTGGTCCTACCACTGAGGAAACCGAGGGCTTCCTTCAGTAGCAGACCCTGACTGGAGGGTATGAGGAGTGGAGGTAATGTAATGGAAAATAGGCTTATATGAGTCATGATGTGTAAGTTATGTTCCTCAAGCAAGATATAAGTTTGCTTTACAAAAGGATAGTACCTTGAGTAAGATGATTAAAAATCAACCAAACATGGGGAAGAAGAAAAAGCTGTGGTTAATAATTAAGAAAACTGGGGAGAAGAGTCTGCAGATACCTTGGTGATGTTTAAGAAGTAAAATAAATAAATAAATAGGAATTTAATCCTTATTCCTATTTTTAAAAAAGAATCCATAGATGAATACTAGGTTGAAAGAGAGTTGCGTTATTGTTTCTTTAAAATTGTCAGTCACTGTGAACTTCACATTGGTGTTTATGGCAATATGGGTCAAATTTATTTATTATTCATGTTATTAATCCAATTCGTAGAACCACTCCTCTCACCAAAAATGATTCTAGGTGATGCACACAAATCGGTTATGAACAAGTTGTAACTTGACCCACATTGGGAGTGAAGCAATCCTTTCAGCTAGCTAGAAAAGATTATAAACAAGCTGTATAAGTGATAAACAAGCTACACACCCTTGTTCCATCCTAATATGGTTGCTTAATTGGCTCATAGTCTGATAGTTATTTACTGAGAAAAAATAACTGCCCTGGTTTCAATACTGCTTGATTTATGATGGCAGTTTAAATGCACTTTATGGCAGAGATTCTTATAGTCCTCTTTTCTGCCTGCTCTATGTCTCCCCAAACCGGCATATGTGCTATTTAGTATCCTAGCCATGTAAGATTTCCCTTAAAAAATATTCAAGTCAGCAGCAGGGTCTAGCGATTTTGGAGGGAAATTAAGGTATGCCCAAATCTATCATTCAGTTGTGTCATTGGTAAAGTCATCAATTTTTCCATTTGACTGCAGGAGATGTTTTTAAAGTTGTTAAGTTAGTGACATGGTTTATATGAATCTGGCTTACAAATTGACTTTGCTTTTCAGAAGGTGACCACATGATCTCAGGAACACTGCAAATGTCATACATATAAACCAGTTGCCAAGCATCTGAATTTTTTAAAATTTATTTTTAATTTTAATTATATGAATACAACACAATACATCCAACTTATCCTTCTTATGCATAAATACATTTTACTTCATCATTTATGATCTTATTAAAATATTAATTACTAATTAAACTAATCACAACTACTAATATTTCAACCTTGTCTTCTATTATATAACCATTAATAAATTTTATTCCATGTTTTATAATATTTAGACTCCCCTTTGTCTTTTATTTTAAAATTAATTTATTAAATTCTACACATCATAATTTTTCTTATTATTATGCATCTTGAATATTCAATTTTTTGTCATTTGAAAAAATATTTTGGGCAATATTCTTCTAGATCCTTTTCTTTTTTCCCTTGCTTTTGTAACCTAATTTTTTATCTGATATGACATTAAAATGTATATGCATTAAAATGCATATCATATCACTTTCTATTTCACGAATAATGCCATGTAATTAGAAATTTTCCTATCCTTCATTTGGTGCATATATTACAACTAAAGGTATCTTTTTTTGATTGAACATTATTTCAACAATCAATATCCTTTCTTGTACATCTTGAAATATCTGTTTAGTCTGGATTGATTCTTTAATGTATAACACTACTCCTCTTTTCTTCTGTTCTGATAAGGCCACAAAAAGTTTTCCCAATTTATCCCCAATTTTTGATATTTATTTATATGAACCTCTTGTAATGCAGTTATATCGAAATTCAGATGTTTTAATTTAGCAAAACAAATTCTTTCTGTTCTAGGGTGAGTTTAAACCATTAATATTCAGTGATCAATTTTTTGATTCTTCATGTTTTATATTTATTTATATTATTCAACCGTATCAGTTCTAAATTTTTTCCCTTTCCATGCCAAGCATCCGAATTTTGATCATGTGATCCTGAGGAGGCTGCAACGGTGGTAAGTGTGGAAAAACAGTTAAAAGTCATTGTTTTCAAAGCTGTTGTAACTTTGAACAGTCATATAAATGAACTGCTTTAAGCTGAGGACAAGCTGTACTTTGGAAGTCTTTGAATTAAAGTATTTATTTTATCCACTGGTTCTGAAAGAAAATGGCTCCAGTGTATTCAGAAGGCTATACGTTACGTATTTCTTCAAACTGAAGAGTTTTATTTGTAGTGTGAAAAGTTAGTGGTTCCTATACAATGCCCTGAATCTGTAAGATCAGCTCCTAAGTACAAAATTATAGAAATTTAAACCATGAAGTATTTAATTTGATTTGATGGTTAACTTTTGAGTGGCTGTTGCATTTTTTCAGGAAAGGAGTGGGGGGTAAGATGTTGAAATATCTTTTCATGCAATGAAAAGGTGAATGTTGCCCCGTTACATTGGAAGATGACTTCTATTCAATTATTTCTTCTTTGTATATTGTTCCAAGTCAATATGTCTGCAGAGCAAACCACCCACTGTGTAGGAATACACAGCCAGCTACTTGGAAAGGTGAAAAGTTTAATTATGAGCGTTTATATGTTCTAGAGAAAAGAGGCAATCTTCTGGCCCTCTCCTCCCACCCCTTTAACTAATGGAAATATAATTTTATGCTGTTTACATTGACATGTCTGCGATAAGAATAGACTTCTAACCTCGTTCTCTTTGAAGTGGAGCTACCACAGAAGAGAAAGAGAAAGCTGAGATTTTGGATGAACTGTTGAATTCCAGGGTCCTCATAGATAGATACCTCCATGATAAATGAAATGAATGTTATGTTATGGGGAAAAAGTTTAATTGAGGGTGTACATTTAACAGATTATTTATATAGTGCCATCAATAAACATATCAGTGCAGCCAAAAAAAGCAAGGTCTCTGCTTTAAGGGCATGCAGTCCAAATATTGATAGTTAGGCTAGAAGGAGTTAGAGAAGAAGGAAGCAAAGAGAGAAACAAAAGGAATTGACTTCAGTGTCACTTCAGATACTAGTGAGCTCCCATTACAAGTGAATGTTTTTCCTATTCATCCATCTTTGGCTATTCATTCATCTTTCCCACATGCACCAGGTGATCAGAGAAAAGCATGTTGATAAAGGTAGAAACAGCAGAAAATAATATTTTGTGATAGGGTAGATAGACAATGCCATTGTGGATCTAAAACACTGGGATAATTGCAACACAGAGGAGTGGAGACAGAGTCTAGAATGGAGTGGGGAATGATGGCCCTTTTATGACCTGTGGACTTCAACTCCCAGAATTCCTGAGCCACCATAGCTGGCTCAGGAATTCTGGCAGTTGAAGTCCACAAGTCATAAAGGGGCAATAGTTCCCCACTTTTGCTCTAGCATAAGAGGAACAACAGTGGTAAAACCTGAGGAGGCTGGCTACTTAAAGATAATTTGTTGGAATCCTTCCAGTGATGAGACTGCATAGGCTAATGTGTTTTCTCTTGTTTGTTTTTCTTCTCCCTGATAACCTGCCCTAGTTATGGCAGAGCTTAGGATAGAATCACATCTTTCACTTTACTAAAAATGCTTTCCTTTGATAATTTCTTCAAGTATTAATATCTGCCAACACTGGAACTAATTCACTACCTCAACAAGCCTAAACACCAGTTATGTTTGCTCCACAGTACTGTAGTTTCCATGTGTTGACCAAGGAGGAGCTATATGCAAGATTATTCCCCAGGGTGAAATGAATGTTGCAATTGTGCAATTATTGCACTGCAATAGATATTGCTATGTATGTCAAGAATGCAAATAGGCATCAGGTAGATTGCAGGTGTTGATAGTAAATTATGATGCTTTGATAGGCAGCTGATTGGCAGTTTTGGGCAAATGCAGCCAGCCCTTTTACAATGCTGGCCTCTTTAATGAATGTATCTTTTGTCTTTAGCTAGAAAAAACAGCCTGTCAGGATAATTTATTTCTTCCATGGAAACAAAAACTTGGTCCTGGGTGCCATGCCAAAAGAACATTCATGGAAAACTTTAGTAAACATACCACTCTATTCCAAGCAGGTGTTCATGGCCCATCTGAATGCTGGACTCACAACAAGTTTGGGTAGTTATGATTTGAAAACACCTGGAGGATGCCAATTTAAGGAAGGTTGATCTCTCTTGACTGGCGCTTAAAAGTATAAAGCAGGACCGGCCCTATTCAGGATGTTAGAAACAAGTTTTCAGCTGGACTTCTCTACTTATCAGTAGGTTTATGTTCAGGAAACTTGGTTTTTACTTTTAAATCTCCATTTTTTTCTACAGAATTGAATGCAATATACTCAGGTTCCTCCAAAGTTTTATCCTAATCATAACCTTATGAAAAAATATTGCAAAGGTGAAGCATAAAAATTGATATTGGATAATCTACTGAGCTGTAAGTCTAAGTGACAACCTGAATGATATTGTCCTTAGTTCAGGTCCAACCACTATTTTGGAATTCATCTATGTCCTTTACATGATGATGTAACCTAATTACTGTTTGGGATGAGCAGCGTTTCTCCATTCCATCATCTTACAGAATGAAATTTTTGTGGCGTGGCTTTACATACTGTATATGCTGTTTAATCCCAACATTTGGGCGTATTGGTAAACTGTGCGGAAAGGAACATGCAAGAAACATGAAGCCGTACACAAAAATCTCTAGAAACAGCACATGTGCAACCATCTTTATCTGATCCAGAAGAAATATTGAAAGATTAATTAGTAACTATAGTATTATCACTATCCTTAGAGCAAGTTAACAAGTTAATTTTAAATCTCTTTGCTTAATGAGATATTAACTGTGCCAATAAATGCATTAAGGAACAAGAGTTTAAGTGTTTAGCAAGGTGCAATTGCTGTGTTGAACCAGCTAATTCATGCACCCCCCTGGCTGTCTGTGCTTGAATGATGATGAACTAATTAGATTTAATCAGAACCAATCAATACAAAGATCCTAAATTGCAGTGACTGCTCACCTTGTGAAATGACTTTGAATGATTGTCATGAATAGGAATCAAAGGCTGGTTTAGCTTACTTCCATACTTTTAATTCATTGTATTATAGATTCTCTCTCTCTCTATATATGTATATATACTTTTATAGGTGTATAGGTTTATACTTTTATAGGTTATTTCCCCCTCCTTCCTTTCTAGCTAGTTTGAACCCCTAGTTATAATTTTTAATCTTGAATAGAGTGCAGTGCTATTGTATTTTACTTAGAATTTAGACTATTATTTCTCTAAGGTTGCTTCAGTGTATAACTTTGCTTCAAGCTGCTGGGTGACTAAAATAAAATCTTCCCAACTGGGGAAGTGTAAGTACTGTGGAATGTGACCTGAGCAGATGCCTTGACTCCTATCTGCACCATCCACCCAATTTGTTAAATTGCTTGAATGCAATGCCTCACTCAACTTCATTTAGGATAATTTTATAAGGGAGGGAGATGGCCCATGGGGAAAAAAAAGGAAAAGGTTGGTGCAGTTCCTGAATCAGGGAGTTACCTGGAATGTGTGGATTGACAATTCACAACAAATGGTAGGTAGAGGTAGGACAACTAATTATGGGCAGTATTTCTTTGAGTAGCAAAGGAGGCAAGGAGCCTTTGGTGACATGATGTTAAGATTCCTTGGAAATCTATCAGCCTGCAGTGTAATTAAATATATATATTTTAAAGAGCAATTATGGAGAAGTTACATTACCTTGGACAATGGAAATTGCAAGGAAACATAGTTTTTTTTGCTTTCTATAGTTTCAGTTGTCTGCCACCCTAGAGCTGCTACTTGCTCTGTATGTCCGATACAGATTAACAGAATTGGAAGGGACCTTCCAATCAAATGTTTATTGTCAATGCACAACATGTGTAAAATGAAACTGAAAAAAAAAATGACCTTGTTGGTCAATCCCCTGCCCAACCCCATTTTTGACAGATGCAGTCCAGTCTCTTCTTGAAAGCTTCTAGTGATGAAGATCCCACAACTTCTGAAGGCAAGCTGTTCCATTGACTGATTGTTCTCACTGCCAGGTTGAATCTCTCCTTGTTCAGTTTCCATCCATTAGTCCTTGTCTGGCCTTTAGGTGCTTTGGAAAATAGCTTTACCCCTCTTCTCTATGGCAGCCCTTCAAATATTGGGACACTGCTATCATGTCTTCACTGGTCCTTCTCTTCACTAGACTAGACATACCCAGGTCCTGCAATCATTCATCGTATGTTTTAGCCTCCAGTCCCCTAATCATCTTGGTTGTTCTTCTCTTCACTTTTTCTAGAGTCTCAAAAACTTTTTTATAGTATGGTGACCAATCTCCTCCATAGGTTATGATGAAACTTCCCTTAAATTGCAAGTAGCAACCTCAGAGATGATATTTTTTTTGCCAGAAACATAAGAACAAGGGAATAAATAATTCCTCTATCCTGTAGTACCTTCAGTTTTTATGATGATTATTTGGGAAAGAACACAAATGACATTTACCCATTTAGCATTTACTTTAGCTATGGATAGAGAAATTATAATGGAACTGCTTTGGACAATATCATAAGAATGGAGAAAAGTAGCATGCAGTCACCCTAGAAGCCTGATTTATTTATTTAATGTATGGCATCTAAAGAGGTCATGCAGTCACTGATATAAAATTTAGATTAAATAATGCATCAGCAAATGTATTTAAATATTGACATATCATATACGTATGGAAACTCCTTCTGGTGTGCCATGGTTAGACCTTCCTTGAAATTTCCTGAAGAGACTGTCTTGAACAAACTATATAGTTTGTTCTGGCACATCATTGTCGGATTGTGAGTTCTTGGCCATTCCTCACTTAATGTTCTGTCCTAGGCTTCCCCAAAAAGCACTTAGCAGACTCTTTGTCCCGACCAAAAACCTTTTATTAAATGAATGTGAATTTCTTGCATTTACATTCAGCCAGTGGCCTGGCAAACAGTCTTTCAAGAGTATAATTGGGAACTCAAATGTTACCTATCTTAGAAAGCTGCCTGG